TACACCATTCGACTGTATTTTTGACGCTGACTCCAAACATGATATTTTTATTGCTTAAGAGTTGAGTTCTGACAGAGCAAACTGCGAACTAGGAACAGAATTCGGATTTTTCTCACTAAAGTCGACATTTTGGTATCAACATACGATATATTTTCAACAAACCCTACATATTCTTGTAGCCTGAAAAAATCCTATCGTCTGATGTAAAAATCAGGGTGATCGGCTAAAAGTTATAATGAGAAAGTTTTCAAACGTCAGGACTAATACAATAAATTTTGATCTAATACTAAAGTATTCCGTCTGCATTTCTTCTGTCAGCTCACTTTTTAATAAAGGTTCTTATGAACACTGACAGTGCTTTTAATTCTTTATCGAATGATATATAATTCATTAAAAAGTATTCCACAATCACTTTAAAATCGAAGAAATACAATTGGCATACTGTTAGTACAAAAATCAACTTTCAACTACTTCCAGGGGACCCTAGATGAGTTTATAGAAAAAGTAAGAGATGTGTATAGTTACTATGAACATGTTCTTCCATTTTATCAAAAAAAATTTGAAAAATTAAAGTGGACCAATTTCCGTAAGAAACAGTTACTCGTCCTTTGGTATCTTTTTCGACTTGAGCTTTTTCCTTCTATTACCTGGTATTATTTCCGTAAAACAGTGTAGCAAACGTGAGAACTCAGTTCTTTTTGTACTTTCTTGCGGTCTGTCAAAAGCTTTTTTAGAGCAGGTGGTGTGCTGGAGACCGAAGTTTCAAAAATTGATAATCCCTCGTTCGCAACAATGTGCTCAATCAAGAAACAGAAAACATGATCGAAGTTTTGATTTTGCAGTACGTAGAGAAGAGCAATCATTTCTGATCAAAACCAACCCGTTCGAAAAGCTTTTCTTTTGATCGATTGATGGGACCGTTACTGGAAGTACCAATATATCCAAAATTTATAAAGTTAATGAAAAATTACAGCGTGACAACCGACAGAAAAGTTTCCATTTCTCCATGGGTTTTGATGTGAAAAAATATGAAGCGTAATGAAAAGATAGAACGAAGTCAGAGCTGCATAATGGCTGATTCAGGTTTTCTTACTTTCGAAACGTTAACAAAAGAAATTGTTTTTGAGTTTAGAAAGTTTTCATTGTTTTCGACTTTTGTATAATCGGCGTAGTTTTCTTGATTGGAGCTCTGAAATTAAAACTTACGTATGGTTTGGTAGAGTATTTCGAGGCGCCTCTTTTAAAAGAACACTAACCATAAGGTCTGAAAGAAACACCAGAATAATAAAAAATATTGAGGTTCATTAATTATGATCCACCTGATAGTTATTGAATAATTTATTCTCTTCCGCCTTTATACTCAAATAAGTTGCTCCACTACTTTCATAGATTATTGCTTCTATCCATTCTGGGAACAGTAGAAATCTAAACTTCCAATATCGTCTTTATACTGAGCGTAATTGCTAGCGTAGGCTCAGAAATGCACTTACACGTTCTCTGTTTTGATAATGGTTAGAAGAACAATAGACTTCTCATTACACATTTTATAATAACAACTATGAAAATATTCATCAGCACAATTGGAATAAAGTATAATGCCGACTTGACTTTTCAAAATGAGCTGTTATACGACTTTGCCAGATAAATTTACAAAATATTCAGTCGAAAAAAGGCTATCATTGTGCATCGACTTCTAGATAACTGTAATCGAATATCATAATATTAACAAGCAACCAAATTATGTGGCATCTCATTCTGAAAAGCGAAATCAGTACTATATTTGACTTATTTAAAAGAAGAGTTATTACCACTAAAATTGATATTTGGAAACATGTACAGAACAGATTTTCCAAGAATATCGATCAATCAAACTTTTTACATCGTGTAGAAAAGAAACCAAAAGAATGTCATTCTCTCAGCTTTTTCTAGATCAATGAGAACTGTATTGATTGGTACTTAAATTTGTCTTAAAAATTGAACAAGGCCCCCCCCCCCGACTGGGAGAGACGGCAACAGTGTCAAATTCTGCAAGTTTTTGAAAATTTTTAGAATTCAGTCATTTTAAACAATGGTATCGGAATTGGAGAGTTTGTGTACTACATCGACTTGTTCACATCTGGCAGAATTCTCACAGAACTGAACCTTAATCTGCCAATTCTTAGACAGAACTTTTTATGTTAGAGTGGTATCACTTGTATTCTTTCTACGAACTGACAGATGCTGCTCAGTTCTGCCAGAATTCTAGAAGAATTGGATTGAATTGATGTATACTTTCAAGTGGTGATGTTACAGCATGAGAGTAGAGATCTGTACGGGCAAGATTTTTTTGCCCGTGCACGTCCGTGCCGGTAACCCTACTGAGGATGCTTCTCCATGCCTGTGTGTGAAGTTTTTTCGCTGCTCGAGCTTGTCCTTGTCCGTTCGTGAATTTCTTTCGTATATGAAAAAAATTGTCTCGTCCGCGAGTGTATATTATGTTGTCCTTTCCGTAGCATGTCTCTAACTGCCTATATTTTATTCACAAAAAAATTAAATCTTCGTACCATTTTGTTGCTCAAAAAATTTAAAATATCTTTTTAAAAACCCATTTTGTCCGTCTAAGGGAAGTAGTTGCCCGTCCGTGTGTCTTTCAAGTCTGTTCGTGCCCGTCCATGCCCGCCCGTGTCTTTTTCGAGCCTGTCCCTGCCCGTCCATGCCCGCGGACAGTACGGGTACGCCCTCGGCCACGAAAATTCCGGTGCTCGTGCAGATCGCTGCATGAGAGTGAGAGGTGACTCTACGAATTTTGCAGAATCCTTAGAGTTTTCATCATATTGTGAAACTTGACGCCACTTCTCCTGCCTCCAAAAGCCTTCGAGTATTGTAGCTCGGACTCGGTCAGTATTGCTGATTTTCGTGTGAGTTGATGAATCTTTAGAAATGACAAGACAAAAATTGCTGAGAATTAGAATTTTTGATCTTTTGAGAATAGCACCACACTGTCAGTAAACATAAAAATAAAACAAAATATGGTTCTTACTCAATCATGTTATTTTTAGACGAAGCCATACGTCGCATTTATTCGAGAATACAAGAAAACGTAAATATATCATGAAAAAACATTAACAAATCTCGAGTTTTTGATGATGAGATATGAACGATGATTTGATTATTATTTTATTTTATATCCAATCAAATTTTAGCATTCTTCTATCAATCATTCTTTCTCTCTCTCGTCTCACTTTCACAGTAGGTATAAAACTAATTATTAGTTGTCAGAGTGTGAAATGCCCTAGTATATGATGAAATTTTACAGCATGATATAGAAACGTTTAACATTTAGTGATTGAAATTCATCTAGAGCACATACAGTTAGTGATGTTTATCTTAAACAAACGTTATGATATCTCACATCCGATTATGATGAGCAATTAAATTAATTATAAATGAATAATATTAAGGCGGAATTGGTTATATATTATTGTACAAAGAGTAATTGATAAGTGTATAGTGGTATGATCTTAATGTTCATCATGTATGAAAAAAGAAAAATATATCTTATTTTATACAATCTCTTGGGATAAATAGAGTCATACTCTAAAACGAATGATAAGAAAACATATTTGAAAATGCAATCGATGAGGTGAAAAATGGAAGAGATATTGACAAAAAACATTCAGTCACACGTATCTGATGAAAGAACTATAATGATTGTTGTTCATCGTCATTTTCTGAAGAAAAAAGAATTAAATCTAACGATGTACAACAGTTAGGTGATTCGAATATATCAAATGTACATCATTGTATCGATTGATCAATGTGCAAAAGATGATTACATCAATTTTCTTAACAATATTATTTACATAAATAATGATCAACGTAGCATACATCACTTGAATAAACAACAATACTAAATTATATATTTGTTGTTATTCAGTGATGACAATTTTGTCAGCAGAATAATTAGACTTTTTATAACTATCTCATATCTAACTCGAAATTATTTCTCTAACAACAAATTTCTTCTAGTCAGACAATAATTTTGTTATTAAAATTATGCTAATATTATGATAACCTTTGATACAAATAACTTTTCTAATTTTCATATACATAGTAGAATTTATTTATTGATAAAATGACAAGATATCAGTCACAATCGTTCTATTTTCGTATTAATAACAGTTCTCCATTTTTCACACCAATCTGAAATAGAAACAAAATATATCTGCGAATTATTTCAAGAACATTCTTCAGACTAAATACAAATTCAGTTCTTCTTGAGATTCTGTTCATTGACAAAGTATAATCAAATCATTGATTATCAGTTAGAAGTCAATCTATGTATTTTATAGTTGCTTATAAAGGATTACATCTTTATAAAGTATGATCAACATTACATGTATTTATATTTGATATTTTTGAGTAAAAAATTGATAAATTTAAATTTTTTATCAGCCATTTTCAATAGATTAAAAATATCATGAATCTTCTTCAATCTAGACAATATTTCGAAACTCATGTGAATTTTAAACTATATTGTTTTTTCTTTTTCTCAGTTTTTTTTTAATTAAAATATCTTCTTCGTCTAGATAACCATCATAAAACTAACATTAAAAACATCCGTCATTGGTCTTTTCGTTCTTTAATCGAAAAGGTGTTTGTACAATAATTATTTGTGACTGTTGTTGGTATTTTTTTCTTCTTCCGTATGTTATTTTTCATTTGACATATAAGAATAACAATAGTGATCTATCTATTGCTGTATATATATGATCTTCTTCTTCTTATTATTATTATTATATCCAATCATTTTTTTTTCCGTTCGTTAATAACTTTCTCTAACACAGAGTGAAGCTATCAGCGTGATATATAGGATATTTTCTGTTAAAACGACAGTTATATCTGTTGGATACAGAGTATATTTACTTATTGGTTTATATATTTTCATTTATCTATCTGATGATTATTTCTTAGTCTGATTTTCATTGATCATTAGTTGTAATAGCAAATTTATAGAAATAATGACAATAATGGAAAATGTTAAAAATCATTCATTTTCAATTGATGATATTTTAAAATCATCATTAACATCAAAAACAAAACTAAATTTAAAAAATCAATTATCTCCTACAAACACTCATTTAACTAATGAACAAAAATCTTATCGTACAAAATCATATCCATTGAAAATAGATGAAAAATCGGCGACACTCGAATATTCCATCGGTTCATATAAAAAATTATCAACATCATCTTCATCAGAAAAATTTTTACAGCATCATTCATTATCAACAGTTAATGAAAAACTGTTTACAAATTGGTTTATTCCGATAAATCAGAGAACGTATTTATATAATGAACTAAATTATCCCATGTTGTATAAATCGTTCACAGGTTCGTATCGAAGAGCTGTTGTTATTATCAAAAAGTTTAGTGATTGATTTGTGCTAATAATTATTTTCTGATAAAAAGAAAAACAACGTACAACTTTCTAATGTTGAATGCGATTGTTATAGATATCTAACGTAAATTAACTTTACTTCATCTGATTCTTTCTTTAAAATTTCATTTTTAGAGTAATCCTACTTCATACCCTGCTAATCGTTTTTGGATATGACTTATGATTATTTAATTAATTGTAAGGTGTTCGAAATTCAAAATTTAACCGCTTTTTATTTTTTCGATTTATATACATAGTTGGATAGAGTTCGTCGAGCTGGTCAAAATTCGAAAAAGCTGGAAAATTCTAAAGTTCGAAAAATCGCCTTATTTTGAGAAATCAGTGTATATCTGTCAAACAGTGAGGGTGGGAGCTTTAAGAGTTTTTTTCTTATTCTGCGTTAAAAACCAACTTTGAAAAGCATAGTTGCAATTTTTTTCTAATATCTTATGACCGTGAAAAATCTTAGTCTTTCGACCATAATGAAAACCCTCATCGTTATCTATAAAACGAATCAATTTCTTTTATTAGAGATGGAGTCAAATTTTTTATATGAGCAGACTCGTCATATAGCCAGAAAAACCTCCGAATTATTTTTACATAATTCTCTTTTATTCCTGAGATATGGCATTTTCTAAATCATAAGTGTAACAATCGGAATTCTGACGGTAATTCTCTGTTTTCTCGATCAGAAGTCACTTTTTATGCAATAGAAATATCATATTCGGAGTCACGGTCGAAAACTGAGTCGAATAATATATATTTCGAAATATTTCGTTGATTTTCATTTATTGGCGAAAATCTCACGAGAGAACGTTCTCAACTGCCAAACCGCTTTCTAGTCGAAACCTAGTGGACTATAAGTAGTCGACCATGCTGACCCAGAATATCAATGTGGGATAGTCCACAGGACCATCAGAGATTGGTTTTCTAGAAAACCAGTTTTTCAGAAACTCTAAAAGATAACTGAAATCTTTCTTAATGAAGAATAATTGTATTTCGCAAATTCTGATTAAA